CCTGGACTGAATATGGCCTACAACGAAAAGAGCAAAAGCCTGTGTCTGTCAGAGCTCCTGCTGGAATCTGTCACTGGGTGAGCCCTGGAACTGATGTCCATTCTGGGCAGGAGTCATAGAAGGTCTCTGTGGGATTCCTCCTTCCACTCCCAAGACAACAGAGGGTTACCATTAGGCTGTTATGGGTCAAGGGCATTCATTGAGCCAGAGGGCTGCTGGTGTGGTCTGCGCCATCAGGCGTTAAGTATGAGGAACCCTACTAGGAAGAGTGGCTACAGGATGCAGGGAGGAGAGGGTATAAATATTTTTAGGAATATCAAATAATATGGAAGAAATGTGTCTACTTGACACAAGTGCCAAAAGCTCTCTTCTAAATTTAGCCAAAGTGTTTCTTTATTTGAGAGCCAGGTGGGAAAGGCATAGCAAAGACATCTTCTTGTTCTCAAGTGAGCCGTGACCATATAGATAGCTCTGGGCACTATGCTGAAGCCTAGAGGGCCTAACACCCCCTCAGAGAGATTCCTGGCACTGCCAACTTACCTTTTCCTTCTTTCATATGTAACTAAGTCTGCAATTTTTGTGAAGTCTATTTATATTTCTTGAACTGAATGTATTTTGAAGCATATGATGACCTCCCACATGGCCCCCCAGGGGAGAATCTGACCACATGTGACTGGGATACCCCCTGAAACACAAATCTGAAGAGGAGAGCAGCTGAGGTGAAGTTCGAGCTGCTGCAGGCAGAAGAGCTGGGCTTTCCCCAGGCCACGGCTTGTCTTAGGTTCTCAGGCACCTGAGCCTGCAGGCATGAGTTCCATCTTGTGGAGTGGGTTCTAAATCCAATTAGAGAGTGATAAACTCAATGACAGCTTTGTAGATTCTTTTTTGTCTCATATTGCTTAGCTGGGGCATTTTCTACCTTACTGTCTTACTGGTCTTTTGAATGTATATTGTGGTTTCTAACTTAGTGTTTTTGTGGGTTCTCTCTGTCTGTCTTTCTCTCTGGTGTTTCCTGTGCTTTTCCACTGTTTTTTTTTTTTTTTAAATTTTGGTTTGTTTGCTTTTTTATTTGTCTGTTAGTTTTCAAAAAAAGAAAGAAAGAAGCTACTGAGTTGGATGAATGGCACTGTGAAAAGGATCTGGGAGGAGATGGGGGAGAGAAGCCACTATCAATTCAAATATATTGTATGAATTTTCAGTTAAAAAAAAGAGCTAGTCTTGACGAGGCTCAGCTCGGGCAGTGTGTGCCTAGAGCTTTGCTGGAGCCTGTCCCAGTGCTCAGGGTATCCTGATGGCAATGTGTTTGCCATAGTTTCATATTTCAATGAGTCTCTGAAACAACCCAGTATCTAAAGTATTTAAAGTGTGGAGACTGCAATTTGTAAGAATTTCTCATTTTGACTTTGGTCCATCATTTCCATTGCCTTTTGCATTGAAATATTTTGACTTTATAATCCATTATTATAAATTTATTCTATTTGAAGAATCTCTGAAATGTTTAATTAAGAACAAAAATAGTTCTTTAAAATGGACAGAACGCACAAGGGATCAGAAGCTGGGCCTCACACAGGCAGGGTCTAATTATAGCCCCCTCAGAAGCACCAAGTGGGACTGAGGAGTTTGTCAGTGTCTCAGGAACTCTGGAAACACTTCCTGAGCATGACCTAGGAGAAATCAAGGAGAAGAGAGGTCTTGTTCCGTGAGGACACATGGGAGCCTCTTGCATTCCCATCAGTCTTTCATTGAGGAGAGCTCCGAATGCAGCTCCCAGAGATCTCCGTACACAGGAGCTCATGCACAAGAGAAGGAAGGCTTGAGTGAGTGTCTGGCCCATGCCTCCAGGGAGCTGCACATGGGGTTAGGAAGATAGTGACAATGCAGTTTAAGGACACCGCTCAGAGCCTATGAAACAAAGTCCGTACGCAGGCTCTCAGGGCAGACGATCCCATCTAGATGTGAGACTCCTCCCAACTCTACGTCCTCACAGAAGCCCTGAGACTTATGGCTGCTTGATCTGCCCACATGGTCCCTAAGCAGGTGATGTGTCCCTGTTGACCAACTTCAGAGGGACAGAGTCAAAGCCTTGCTCCATGGCCATCCTCTCAGCTTTAGATAAGAACATGGGACACTCAGGACAGGACCTAAGAAACCATCCTTCAGAACCAGTGCTTGAGCTGAGATGATACCCCACTCCCGGAAGGCCAACCCACCGAACAGCTTCAGGTCAGCTTGGGGCATCTCAGGAGTTCAACATGCACTCATGTCTTCTGTAAAAACACACTTCTGATCTTATTACACATGAGCAGGACCATCTGAGCTCTCAGATGGGGTTTTCCAGTCTCAATTTCCAGATGAGAAAGGGGCTACTAAGAACGCTGACCTCAAAGGCCAGGCTGCCCAGAGCTTTGCCTTTGGGCTTCTACCGCAGGCCCTTGTGGAATCGGGGGCCATACTTGTGGGCTCCAATGTATAAAAGGGTGAAATGAAAGGTGACACTGAGGATGGTACCATTAACAAAAGGGGCAGAAACAATCATTTCAGGGATTTGGAAAATGAGAAAGAAGCAGGGAAGTCTGAGAATTCGGGCCTCTAGTCACACACGCGGGATGCAGGTGACCTAGGGAGGACACATCTGCTTTAGTGTTCTCTCTGCACCTCCACTTCAACTGCATCCAGATTAGCTACCATACGTCTGCTTTCTCTGGGATCGTGAGCTGACTCAGGTTAGTGAACCTCCTCTTGAGGTAGCTCTCCAGGATATGTGGGTGGGGCTCAGTGACACGAAATTCAGAACAATCTGTAATCACCAAGTCCAGATCACACAATTGTCCTGTGTGCTCAGCGGCATGCTGTAGTTCTGGGGGGCAGGTACCACCCACGGCTTCACCAATAATCATAGCCACAGAGAACATGGGATGCACTTGTCACCGAGAGGCTAATGGCAGTGATTATGCACAATAGAACAGGCGGGCAGCACCACCGTGTCACTGTCCAGAAAAGAAATCTGCTTTCTCAGGGAGTGGCACCAAGTGATGCCACACAGCAGAATCAGGCCATCAACCGTGTGCATCATGGGGGACAGGAAGGTCAGAGGTTCCCTCTTCCCACATCTGACCAGGGTTTTGCATGGGCTCCTGGGGGCATAGTAGGTCAGAAATGAGCTGGCATCTGTTCAGACGGGAGGAATCCTGGCCTCAACACCCTGCTGGTTCTTCCCTCAACATTGCTTCACTCTGTGGGATGCAGTGCAGGCCCCTTTCCATAGTTCTGACTGTGTTAAGGGGCTGGAGTCCAGGCCAGCACCCCAGCCTAGAGCTGAGACTACCAGTAACAGGGTTGAAGAAGGTAGGAAGCCAGTGGTTGCCCTCTCTAGTGGAAATGTCAAAGCAAGTGTGGGGAGCAATGGAAGGCTGTAAAATCAGACAGATGAAGGCCAGCAAATCCCAGCTTTTCTCCAAGCCTGAGTCATCCCCCACCCCCACTCGCCGTGCACGGCATCAGTGCCATCAAGCTGGAGTGAGAGGCATGGTATCTTGTCTGGCTCACGGGACACATGCAGCTCTGAGGTTGCCATGCTACTAACCGCTGACCAGTGTGCAGTACTGTCAACCAGGGGAGACACTAATAACCGCTGACCAGTGTGCAGTATTGTCAACCAGGGGAGATGCTACTAACCGCTGACCAGTGTGCAGTATTGTCAGCCAGGGGAGACGCTACTAACCGCTGACCAGTGTGCAGTACTGTCAACCAGGGGAGACACTACTAACCGCTGACCAGTGTGCAGTACTGTCAACCAGGGGAGACACTACTAACCGCTGACCAGTGTGCAGTACTGTCAACCAGGGGAGACACTAATAACCGCTGACCAGTGTGCAGTACTGTCAACCAGGGGAGACACTACTAACCGCTGACCAGTGTGCAGTACTGTCAACCAGGGGAGACACTACTAACCGCTGACCAGTGTGCAGTACTGTCAACCAGGGGAGCATTCTCAAAGACATGACATTTCTTTCATTGAGTTTCACAGTCTTTTGGCTTTGAATTATAAATCTCAATGAAGGAAAGCAATTAGTCTGGGGAGAGGAACAAGTGGGTCAACTCTCAGAATCAGCACTGCTAATACGGATTGATGGGAGGGCATTTGTGACAGACAGGAGGCATCAGTGGCTGTGCTGTGCCTGGCTACTTACTGACGCTGTAGTGTCTGTATAGGGAAACAGAGCACCTTAGTGAGCAGTCGGCATATGTGTACATACCTAACTGTGGGACTGCAAGGAGCTAAGTCCTCCTCACAGTAAGAAGATGACCCAGCCTGAGGAGGAGGATGAGACAAAGATAAAACACAATGCCCAAAGCGGCCAGAGTTTGTGGAGCCAAGCAGAGGTACAGGACTGAGTGTGGATGCACTCCCACGGGGAATGCCCACATCACCAACAATTACATTCTTACAGGAAGATCTACTCTTGAATGTGGTACTCTTAATCTTAGAAATGGCTGGGTAAGTTCTGTAGCTATGTCTGGAGAGGCTCTTGGCACTTGGCATGACTGGCCTGGGGTAAGACACCAGGAGCTACAGACACAGCCTCTGAGCTTATGAAGATTTCTGGCACTCTGTCTACGGGATATCCTATCTATGGGCTCAGACTAAGAACTACTGAACCAGCTCCCCAGGAACCCAGTCGGTGACAAAACTGTAAATAGGATGAAAAGATCCAGATAGCAAGGAGGATTCATGGCTCAGAAGACCCTGGAAGCGCTAGTCTGTGGCAGGTGTAACTCCCTCTCAGGAAGCTTTACCACTAAGACATGCTGACAGGCAAGGAAAGCCGGCCTTCCTGGGCCTCCAAAGTTATGCAGAGTCAGCAAATCCCAAAGGCCACAGCAGCTCAGGGGCCAAGTGGGACTGGAGAAGCTGCACTAGCACAGAAAGGAGACCTGTGGAGAATGCTGCCCGTGTGCAGTGTCAGCGAGAGGAGCTTTATGGCCGGCCGAGCACCTACCTCACTCTCATCCTCGGGGGCGCTGTAGCCACAGGCGTCCATGAAATCTGGAAATGTCTCCGACCACCCATCACTAGTGCAGTTTTTGCTTATGTTTCCTGGAAAGTAAATTTCAGATGTTTGGTCTTTGAAAAGTAGCCTCACGATGCAGGGCTATAAGACTAGTTGAAGCTGAAGCCCTAATCTGACAAGCGACTGAGACCACCCGGAAGTCCTTCCTCAGTTGCCCTGAATAGTTTCCTCTCTGAGACATGCCTGCCAGGGCGGGGAGACACAAGTGGACACACTGTATCACAAGATAGTAAAAGCAGAAGCAAGTACTAACCACAGTCGCTGAAACTGCAGAGCTGCTATTCTGCAGCCTGACCAAGACCTGTTTCTGTGTCTGTTAGAGTGGCGGTGGCCAGGCCCAGGCACTCTGGAGCTAGCTTTCTTCTTTAGCTTTCCATCCTCGCTCCCCTTTCCATCTGGTCTGCCCCTCACCCTTAAATGCCTAGGAAGCAGTGTAGTGCAGCTTTCATGAGGCTCTCAGTTGGAGGAAAATGCGTGCCTGAGATTTAAATAGCAAGAAACATTGTATTTGTGGTATTCCTATTCTCATATTTATGGTAAATTCACAAATGAAGCATTCACTCTATTTACAAAGAATGTGGCAGGTGACCACACAAAGCAGAAAGAGTATGAAGCTCTGGACAGACCTGGTGGGAAAGGAGAAGACAAGGACATTAGTGACTTAAAGTGACCAGGTCAGATTCTTAGTCCAGGCCCCAAGGACACATGTCTTCCTCCTTCATGGAGCTTCGGTCCCTTGCCCAGGCCACTCATAGGACCCACAGAGTATAAAACACTTCAGTTTAAGAAGGGTCTTCCTTTACAAACCTCTTTATTCTCAGAGTGCACTTGAGAGGCAGATGTGGTTACCATTGCTGTCCTCATCCTACAGCTGGGAGACTAAGATCCTGGAGGCCAGGTAATGTTTGAGCCTGAGCAGGAGATAGGGTTTCTGACTCAAAGGCGCTGCAGTATTTTCTACATGGTGAAGGTCACCTGTTCACTGGTACCAAGTAGTCAGCAGGCACCGGGAACTCGTCTCTTATCTGTTAATGGGCATTAGCAGTTCCTTCTAGGCTGGTGATTCTGAAAGGAAACCCACAGTCTCCGGAAGACTCTAGGTTCCCATCTCTAATCGCCTTCTCTGGGGAACTACTGCTATCCTTCCTGAGGACACAGACTCAGGCTGCACCTCACCTATCAATATTCAGGGTGAACTATCTCTTGGCACTCCTGGCCAAGCCCTTCATGGAGCTGTTGATGTCTGAACTGAATGAGAGCTTCTGGAGGACAGAATCCTGAGAATGACTGAGCTCCTCTAACGTGACCATAAATGAGCAATGCGGTAGGTTAGAGACACAGCTTCCCTACACAGTCAGTAGGAGACCAAGCCTCCTCTCACTGCTTTTCTCTGTTTCAGTCGGCCGAATTCCCCATTTTAAGCATCAACATTCTCATTCCTTGAAGTGTTTTGCCCCATAATATCTGACCAGAAACAAAATTTCCGGTTTTCCAAATCATTGTACTTCCCTTGTTCGAGTAATGTCTTCTAATCTGTACTTTTCTAGGTAGATTCTTCCATGTTGTGAACACATGGATCCTGAGCCATGTATGAAGACTGCATGAAAACCTGGATCCTGAGACATACAGAAAGGACAACACAGTACAGTGGGGCTGAGGTGGCTGCAAACTCTCTCCCTGAGCTTACAACCTCTGGGAATCTCTCTCAGGCTAACAGTAACCTTGTCCCCTTCTCCTAATCTCCATTATCACTCCTGCACATTTTTCCTGCTTTAACTGTGGAGAGTGTGTCACCCAGCCTTTCCCTCTACATTTGCCCTGCTTGCCCATCCAGACTTCAGCAGATGAGCTACTCCTGCTTCCTTAAAAGAAAACTCCCCACCATGAGCCAGATGTTCTCCTGCTCCCTTAGCACCAGGGGGCACATAGCTACCAAAGAAGCAAGGCCCAGCTTCTTGTTACTGTGACGGAAAAGCTTACCCTCAGATACAGACATCTTTGAGCCCAGGAATCAATGCAAATATCATACCTGGTCTGCTGTAGATGTTGCTGAACACTTTGGGGCAGGGCACTGTGACAGTTTCTCCAATGTCTGCAGGGCGCCAGCATGTGATATTGTCCCAGACACCACTGCAGCCTGGAAGGAGAAGCCAAGAATTAGGTGCAAGTCATGGGCCATGAGAACACACTGCTTAGAAGGGGACAGGAGAGTGAGTGACCATCTAAATGCTCTGCAAGAAGGAAACTGCTCGTCACATAGCTGTCAAGGCATTTTTCTATGAGATACTCACAGGGCGCTGTTGAGATAGGAGTAGCTTGGGTGCTCATCTGAACACCTCTGAAGAAAGCACAGGCCTGTGGTCGAAAGCATGTGAATAATTCAGTGTGCACTGTGTACTTTTAAAAGTTTTATTTCTTTTTAAGTTGACAACTAATAATTGTATATACTTACAGGGTAGCTGAGATGTTTTGATACAATGTGTACATTGATGGAAGGGTGGACATTTAAAATTAATTGTCTTAGTGTTCTGGTTTAAATTAACTATAGTCACCCCTCTATTCAATAGGTCACTAGACCATGTTTTTATCACCCAATTGAAACTTCTTGCCATCTACACAGCACCCAAAGTTGGCCTTTGGTGACCCCATTCTACATTTTGCTCCACGAGACAGACTTTAGATTCCACAGAGGAGAGTTGGGTGGTTCTCGTCTGCCTCAGCCTGGCATATTCTACTGTGCATCAAGTCCTTTGGGCTCATCATAATATGGCAGATGGCATAAGTTTTCTCTTGTATAATGCTGAACAAGATCCCATTGTATTTCTGTACCACGTTTTAAAATAAAAGAGGGAGTCTTTTTTGGCGCATAGCATCGCCCAGCGCAGCCTATTTGGGCGCTGGGTCCGAGTACCCGGGGCTCCCGGGCGGGCAGCAGTTCCTTTGTTTCTGTGGCCTGCCTGCACCAAGCGGGGTAGGCGCTTTGTCTGCGGGCTGCCCAACCAGCACGGAGGCCTGATCTTTCGGCGCCAGGAGACCCAGCATTGGGGTGAGTTTCTGGCACACGGCGCCAGCCTGGGACGGGGAGCTCGGGGGTTTCTTGGCCCCCTGTCCTGCTTGGGCTCTCTGCTGCCTCTTTCTTCCTGGCCCACCCAGCTTCCGTCCAGACCCCTCCCCACTTCGCCCCCACTGCCCTCTTTTGGCGCGTAGCATCGCCCAGCGCAGCCTATCTGGGCGCTGGGTCCGAGTACCCGGGGCTCCCGGGCGGGCAGCAGTTCCTTTGTTTCTGTGGCCTGCCTGCACCAAGCGGGGTAGGCGCTTTGTCTGCGGGCTGCCCAACCAGCACGGAGGCCTGATCTTTCGGCGCCAGGAGACCCAGCATTGGGGTGAGTTTCTGGCCCACGGCGCCAGCCTGGGACGGGGAGCTCGGGGGTTTCTTGGCCCCCTGTCCTGCTTGGGCTCTCTGCAGGGCCTCTACTCCCCGGGTGCTGCCTCTTTCTTCCTGGCCCATCCAGCTTCCGTCCAGAGCCCTCCCCACTTCACCCCCACTACCCTCTTTTGGCGCGTGGCATCGCCCAGCGCAGCCTATCTGGGCGCTGGGTCCGAGTACCCGGGGCTCCCGGGCGGGCAGCAGTTCCTTTGTTTCTGTGGCCTGCCTGCACCAAGCGGGGTAGGCGCTTTGTCTGCGGGCTGCCCAACCAGCACGGAGGCCTGATCTTTCGGCGCCAGGAGACCCAGCATTGGGGTGAGTTTCTGGCCCACGGCGCCAGCCTGGGACGGGGAGCTCGGGGGTTTCTTGGCCCCCTGTCCTGCTTGGGCTCTCTGCAGGGCCTCTACTCCCCGGGTGCTGCCTCTTTCTTCCTGGTCCACCCAGCTTCCGTCCAGAGCCCTCCCCACTTCGCCCCCACTGCCCTCTTTTGGCGCGTGGCATCGCCCAGCCCAGCCTATCTGGGCGCTGAGTCCGAGTACCCGGGGCTCCCGGGGGGGCAGCAGTTCCTTTGTTTCTGTGGCCTGCCTGCACCAAGCGGGGTAGGCGCTTTGTCTGCGAGCTGCCCAACCAGCAAGGAGGCCTGATCTTTCGGCGCCAGGAGACGCAGCATTGGGAGAGCCAACATTGGGGAGAGACAGCGTTTGGTAGGCAAGGAGACCTAATCCGGTAAAAGAAGATCCATAGGGAGCATTTGGAAGAAGAGATGGGCCGACGTCAAGGCAAGAATTCGCCCAACAAGCTGAAAAGCAACATGAAGCTACCAGAAACAAGCGACCCCACAACGGGAGGACAAGAACCCCTTAATCAAGAGGAAGGAGAAAAGATTGACTTCATGAAAGTGATTGACACCCTTAAACAGCATGTAAAAAACGCCCTTATAGAAATGGATGAGAAATATAACAGAAAGTTTGAAGAATTGAATAAATCAGTGAATGATACCCTAGAAAACCAAGGAAAAACAATCAAACAGATAATGGAAACAGTTCAAGACCTGAAAACTGAAATGGAGGCAAAGAAGAAAACACAAGCAGAGGGCCGTCTGGACATGGAAAATCTAGGTAAACGAATAGAGACTACAGAAACAAGCATAACCAGCAGAATACAAGAGATAGAAGAAAGACTCTCGGATTCTGAAGATACCATAGAGAAAATAAACACACTGATCAAAGAAAACAGCAAGTCCAACAAACTCTCATCACAAAACATTCAGGAAATATGGGACACAATAAAGAGACCAAACCTAAGAATAATAGGAGTAGAAGAAGGAGAAGAAGGGCAGCTCAATGGTCCAGAAAATCTATTTAATAAAATTATAGAAGAAAACTTTCCCAACCTAAGGAAAGATTTTCCTATGAAGGTGCAAGAAGCATACAGAACACCGAATAGGCTGGATCAAAAAAAAACATCCCCTCGCCATATAATTATCAAAACACAAAGCATACAGAATAAGGAAAGAATATTAAGAGCTGCAAAGGAAAAAGGCCAAATTACTTATAAAGGTAAACCTATCAGACTTACACCTGACTTCTCCATGGAAACCATGAAAGCCAGAAGGTCCTGGATAGATGTACTGCAGAAACTGAGAGACCATGGGTGCAAGCCCAGATTACTATACCCAGCCAAGCTTTCATTCACTATAAATGGAGAAAATAAAATTTTCCAGGATAAAAACAAATTTAAACAATACGCAGCCACAAATCCAGCCTTACAGAAAGTAATTGAAGGAAAATCACTAACCAAGGAGTCCAACAATGACCACAATAACTCAGACATCTAGAGACCCTTCACCAACACAAAACAAAGAAGGGAAACACACAAACTCTACGACTAAAAAAAAATGACCGGAGTTAACAACCACTGGTCATTAATATCACTTAATGTCAATGGACTCAACTCACCTATAAAAAGGCACAGGCTAAGAGATTGGATAAGAAAACAGGATCCAACATTCTGCTGTTTACAAGAAACACACCTCAACCACAAAGACAGGCACCTACTCAGAGTAAAGGGCTGGGAAAAGGCCTATCAAGCAAATGGACCTAAGAAACAGGCAGGTGTGGCCATACTAATCTCTAACAAAGTTGACTTTAAACTTAAATCAATCAGAAGAGATGGAGAGGGGCATTTTATACTCATAACAGGAACAGTTCATCAGGATGAAGTCTCAATCCTGAACATCTATGCCCCTAATATAAAAGCACCCACGTACATAAAAGAAACATTGCTAAAATTCAAGGCAGCCATCAAACCGCACACACTAATAGTAGGAGACTTCAACACTCCTCTCTCACCAATGGACAGGTCAATCAGAAAGGAACCTAACAGAGAAATAAGAGAATTAGTGGAGGTAATGAATCAAATGGACTTAACAGACATCTATAGAACATTCCATCCAAATAGGAAAGAATATACCTTCTTCTCTGCAGCTCATGGAACCTTCTCGAAAATCGACCACATAGTCGGTAACAAAGCAAACATCCACAGTTACAAAAAAATATTAGTAACCACCTGTGTCTTATCAGATCACCATGGATTAAAGTTAGAATTCAACAATAATGCTACCCCCAGAAAGCATACAAAGTCATGGAAACTGAACAGTCAACTATTGAACCATAGCTGGATTAAGGAAGAAATAAAGAAAGAAATTAAAGTCTTCCTGGAATTCAATGAAAATAAAGAAACAACATACTCAAACTTATGGGACACTATGAAAGCAGTCCTAAGAGGAAAGTTCATAGCACTAAGTGCCCACTTAAAGAAAACAGAGAAAGCTCACATTGGAGACTTAACAGCCCACCTGAAAGCTCTAGAAAAAAAAGAAGCAGACTCACCTAGGAGGAGTAGAAGACTGGAAATAATCAAAATGAGGGCTGAAATCAACAAAATAGAAACACAGAAAATAATACAAAAAATCAATGAAACAAAAAGCTGGTTCCTGGAGAAAATCAACAAGATTGACAAACCACTATCCAAGCTAATCAAACGGCAGAGAGAGAATTTGCAAATTAATATGATCAGAAATGAAAAGGGGGACATAACCACAGACACAGAGGAAATTCAGAGAATCATTAGATCTTACTACAAAAGCCTATATGCCACAAAATTGGAAAATGTAAAGGAAATGGATACTTTTTTAGATAAATATCATATACCAAAGTTAAATCAGGACCTGGTGAACAATCTAAATAGACCTGTTAGTCGCGAAGAATTAGAAGAGGTTATCAAAAACCTCCCTACCAAAAAAAGCCCAGGACCAGATGGTTTCAATGCGGAATTCTACCAGATCTTCCAAGAAGATCTAATACCTATACTCCTTAATGTATTCCACAAGATAGAAACAGAAGGGTCATTACCAAACTCCTTTTATGAAGCCACAATTACTCTGATACCAAAACCACTCAAAGACTCAACCAGGAAAGAGAACTACAGGCCAATCTCACTCATGAATATCGACGCAAAAATCCTCAACAAAATACTGGCAAATCGAATCCAAGAACACATCCGAAAAATTATCCATTATGATCAAGTAGGCTTCATTCCTGAGATGCAGGGCTGGTTCAACATACGAAAATCTATCAATGTAATCCAGCATATAAATAAACTGAAAGAAAAAAACCATATGATCATTTCATTAGATGCTGAAAAAGCAT